TCCCTCTTGGTTGAGAGCTGTGTGTGTGTGTGTTGACTGAAGAGAGCTTGGCCATTATATGCACTATCGATAATGATAACCACGTAATGATTCTGTTTATCGATTGGCTGAGAGATCTTGGCACGCGCTTAATATTTCATAAATTTATATTTGGACAAGCATGAGCTTCTTTGTATCAGCCATTCTGAAGTTGTGTTTCCGGCAAACATGAAGCAGCATATTTTTAGTCTATTTTGGAATTTAATAAATTATGAGTAATTAGTGGTGTCAAGATGTGGAAAAACGTCTTAGCTAAATAACGTTGTAGAGTATGCGTAAAATGATCTAACTAAAATAAATGCCATGTTTACTCAAGGTCGCAGAAAACTCGGGCGTTAACAAATTCATAGAAATTATGGTCGTACGGTTCCAGAACCCGAGTTCAGGAATTAATAATTAAATAAATGTGGATAAAATCAACACACCAGGTTAATCACTTGTGTTTTAACATAGAAGCAAAAACTTCACTTCCATAAACTAGGGAAGGGACAGAGATCATGGTCAAAGATAGGTATTACAAATGAACACAGAATAGGCGACGACCTTGAGACTAATTAAGCGGAAGTGAAACCAAGTAAATCAAGACAAAAGTTAGGCATAAAACAATAAAATTAGAAAAAAGTTCCTATTAAATCATTTTTATTTACTGTTATAGATTCAAACGAGAAAGGAGACAGAGCTTTATAAGAAGGCAGAACTTGAGGCTATTGAACGTTTACGTTTGGAGGAATTACGTCGTACTTTCGATCGACAAAGACGACTTGATACTCGACGGCTTGAGGAACAAGCTAAGGCTCGACTTCGCGAGATGAAAATTCACCAGAAAGAAGTTTCAGAAGAGGCGACTAGACACGCGGAAGCCACAGAAACTCATCTAGAAGCTATTCGTGCAAAAGTAATTTTAGATCTTTTATTAATGTTTCAGTAAGACCACCTTTTCTCCCTTCGACTAAGTACGTCGATGAGAATTAGACTGGTATACGATTGCATTTATTTCTAAAATATTTGCTTATGATCCATGAGTAACCATTTAAATATCGTGGACCTTAATTGTCAATCAGAAATAAATTGACACATTTTTTAAAGTTGAAAACATCTAAATGTAAGTATGATTGCATGAGGTCTACTGAAATGATGCATTTCGACCTCTGAAAAATCGATTGATCTTCGTGAAACTTTACAAATGCGAATAATAATCTATGTTAATGTAGGTAATAACAGATTTGAATCCACTGAACCAAAAGCTACTTTTCTGAATTCGGGAAAAGGCAACAATGATGGGGTAGTTCCCACCCCTCCAGAGCAAATGCGCTCACTGCCCCTTGAGACAATCAATGTCATAGATCAATGGCTCCAAGTCTTCACTGACCATGGAAAGCCAAGGAAACGTTGGTGCAGGTGTCTATTCTGAACTCTTCTCATCAATGGCTCCAAGTCTTCACTGATGGGTCATACATAGAAAACTCTGAACTCTTCTCTTTCTACGCAGCAGCGGGACACAATGGATTCGCTATTGAAGAAGAAATAGAGGCCATTAGGCCATTATGTTGCCTGGATACGAAATTCACTAAAGTGATGATACTTTTGAACTCACAGTCAGCAATAAACTCAATTGGAAGCAGTGAGACACCAAAAACAGCTGAGATAAAGGAACGTAGAAAACTCTATCAGCTGGTGAGAGAGCAAAACAAAACAGTGGTCCTACAATGGATTCCTGGTCACTGGTCATCGAAGGCAATGAGCTTGCTGACACACTTGCTAAGAAGGGGACAACGAGTTTGCAATGCATGGACACGCCGATGTCTTCCCACACATTGAAGACCTTAATCAGGAGAGAATTCCAGACCTCAAGGTGTAACGAACTCAAAGCTCGAACAAAGGAGAAACAGTGGACAGTGGCACTCTCCGACATACCCGACTGGCCAAGAATCGAAGCAGTTGCTGAGTTCAGACTACGTACCGGACACGATTGCTTGGCAAAACACCTTCACAGATTGGGAGTATACACTCAACCCACATACTCTCTATGTAACCTACAGGAGGAAATGTCGAAGACCCACCTGATTCGGTGTCTAGCCCTAAAGACAACGACGGAAAGCCAGAGAGACTGAGAGGCAAAAAGACAGCTAATGAACTGCTATTAATTAACTGGTATAAATGTACCCCCTCCCCCCTCTTGGGGGAAGCTGAAGTCCAAGATTAAGGGCTAATGATAAATATCATAAAGCCTGCCATTTTAAAAAAATAAATAAATACTTTCAAACTAAGTTTATTAGGATTTAGTTAAAATTAAGATCAGATTTGCGGACATTATTATATCAACTAACGTATTAGTAAAGTATCCCAAATTTAAATAGGATATTTTATTGTAAAGATTTGAGGAAAATAAACATCTCCAATCAGCATTTCGTTTTGTTTATATGGAAAAACTTTGAATTCAAATCAAAATAAACAGGGTTTTTCATAAATTTCTGGTGATTAAATTAATTGATTACAGAAGTGCGTGCATAGAGCAAATGGATCCTTCAATGTTCCAGTGATATCTTCATACCTCCCACTGAGTGATGTGGCTTTGAAAAATATGTGACACGGTGCAAACACTTAACGACAAAAACACTTTTATAGATCATACATTTTTGAAAAAAATGAAGGAAGCGATGCTGGCATATGATTTAATTGAAATCTCAATTTATAAATATCATGTATACAAGATTAAAGAATGTATAATTTGGAATTCAAAATTTACACACTCAAACCGTGCCAAAAATGTATCTCCTGTTTATTGATAAATCAAAAGTTGAAGATTTAAAAGTTTTGCAAGTGAGTGCTTCTCCCATTTCCGTTTTACTTTAATCAGATTCTGTTTGTGACATTTCACTCGTAGTTAAAAGAAAACTTACATCCAGTAAATGATTTTAACCTAACAAGCCTCATTTATTGGCAATGTTCAGTATATTCCATTTGGGTTGCTCATATGAATCTGCAGTAATTTTCAGCATGAACAGGTAATTCCGATTATTCCTCCATTAAAAATTTTTCGCTATAAATACGATTGATGGAAATATGTCTATCACTCGCCGTATTTGTCATTCACCCTGAGATACACTTCTTCGTTGATTCTCTTGGCTTCTAAAACGCGTAATTTACTTTGAAGAATAATAAGGCACCAACAAAGCCGACGATGGAGAAGCCACTATCGCACTGGTATGCAGCCTATAAAATTAAACAAGCATTGATTATTTTTGTAATTCTTTGATGGCAAAAATATAGGTGGTAGTACATGGATAGAGAATGTTGAGTGGGTTGAAGCGATTTCCAATTCAGCTTTTCAGTTGCATATTTTTGAAGTAGTGAATGCAACACCTCAAATTATCCCACTACAGCAAAAGTGCTGTGGAAGAAACATTTTTTTATTTATATCAAATCTCAGGCGTTTTGATAGTTGTCATTAGCCCTTCAGTTGGCTCCAGGCTTCACAGGGGGGAGGAACATCAAAGTGGAAAAAAAGGCGAGAGGGGGGGAGATGGAACAGAAGAGTGCTTCAAAGATGTAAAAGAGGCAGACACGAAGGTAGAAAAAAAGTTAGGTGAGAACTATGGAAGTGGTGGTATATGTCATGGTGTTGGGTCATGGTAGTTTGAAGTCAGAAGTCAGCTTCCAGTTAATAGACTTTTTTTGGCGTATGAGTACACGTTACTCAGAGTGCACCGCGTGAAAGAAGTATTAAATATCATTAAGTGTAGACATCTTTGTAGCATCATATAACTAGGCTCTCATTGAATGACATCAAAAATCTGCATCTTATGTAAAAAGTATATGAATCAGAGTTCACATCTGTTATTTTTTTCATTCAAGCAAGATAGAAATGGTTACCAGCTT